CATGTGGAAAGCTACTCCAAAGAAATGTTTGATGTCAGTTGTATATCATTTTCCTTTCCGTTTATTCTGTATGTCAAGCCTGTTTGCGCTTGTTCTAGGCAGAGATTTTTGAAGTAGGGTGAGGTTTAGAATCTCACTGGAACCTGGTATAAAAACATAGCCGCCTTGTTCGTTCCTTCTAACATTTGAGTGAATTCAAAGGAAAGAAATGTTAAGACTCCTGAAGAATCCTTCTTGATGCCTCTTGGAAATAATTTATTGGGGAATTCTTTAAGTGATATATATATATATATATATATATATACACACACTTCATAATTGATTTAAGCAACATTTTCGTGAGAAAACCGTTCCTAGTTAACAGTAGAGAAGGCAGGGGTTAGGCTCCGGATTGCTCTTTTAATTTATTTTCTTGGTATGCAACTTATTTAGTAGCATTTGATTCCTTCACTGGAATGTGCACTTGTTGTGCGATACAAATGGCAAGTGCAGCACCATGAGTGTCAAGGGCCCTTGTTTTTTTTATATCATTGTCATTTTGCTTGTTTGCTCCAGGAATGCATACAATATGGTTCTCCACAAGTTTGGTGAGAAGTTGTATTCTGGCCTGGTTTCAACTATGACTTCGCATCTAAAGGAGATATCTAAATCTATTGAGGCTGCCCAGGGAGAATCCTTTTTGGAGGAGCTGAACAGGAAGTGGAATGACCACAACAAAGCTCTGCAGATGATCAGAGACATATTGATGTACATGGACCGAACTTACATTCCTAGTAATCATAAAACCCCCGTTCATGAGCTAGGCCTCAACTTGTGGAGAGATAATATTATTCACTCCAGCAAAATCCAGAGCAGGCTATTGAACACGCTTCTGGAATTAGTCCACAGAGAGAGAACTGGCGAAGTCATAGACCGTGGCCTGATGAGAAACATAATTAAGATGCTGATGGATTTAGGCTCTGCAGTTTACCAGGAAGACTTTGAGAAGCATTTTCTTGAAGTTTCTGCTGAGTTTTACAAAGTTGAATCTCAGAAGTTCATTGAATGCTGTGATTGTGGCGAGTATCTGAAGAAAGCTGAGAAACGTTTGAACGAAGAGATAGAGAGGGTGACACACTATTTGGATGCTAAGAGCGAGATTAAAATCACCAGTGTGGTGGAGAAGGAGATGATTGCAAATCACATGCCGCGACTTGTCCACATGGAAAATTCAGGCTTGGTCAACATGCTTCTCGATGATAAATATGAGGACTTGGGGAGAATGTATAACTTGTTCCGAAGAGTACCTAATGGTCTTCTTACAATCCGGGAAGTAATGACTTCTCATCTGCGAGAAACTGGCAAGCAACTTGTTACTGATCCTGAAAGGTTGAAAGATCCAGTGGAGTTTGTGCAACGGCTCTTGGACGAGAAGGACAAATATGACAGCATTATAAACAAGGCCTTTAGCAATGACAAGACGTTCCAGAACGCTTTAACCAACTCGTTTGAATACTTTATTAACTTGAATGCTCGCTCCCCTGAATTCATCTCACTGTTTGTTGATGACAAGCTGCGGAAGGGGCTAAAGGGAGTTAGCGAAGAAGATGTGGAGATCATTCTAGACAAGGTGATGATGCTGTTCAGGTATTTGCAGGAGAAAGATGTGTTTGAAAAGTATTACAAGCAGCACTTAGCCAAGAGACTTTTGTCGGGTAAAACTGTATCAGACGATGCAGAGAGAAGTCTTATTGTCAAACTCAAGACCGAATGTGGCTACCAGTTCACTTCAAAATTAGAAGGTATGTTCACAGACATGAAGACTTCTCAGGACACAATGCAGGGATTTTATGCAAGTCATCCCGAGCTGGGAGAAGGGCCCACACTCGTGGTCCAGGTTTTGACAACTGGGTCTTGGCCAACTCAGCCGAGCTCCACCTGCAACTTGCCTTCTGAAATGTCTGCACTATGTGAGAAATTCAGGTCCTATTACCTTGGGACTCATACCGGTAGAAGGTTGTCATGGCAGACCAACATGGGGAATGCTGATATGAAGGCGACTTTTGGGAAAGGTCAGAAGCATGAGCTGAATGTGTCGACTTATCAAATGTGCGTTCTAATGCTGTTCAACAATGCTGAGAGACTTAATTACAAGGAGATTGAGCAGGCGACAGAGATTCCGGCTCCTGAATTGAAGAGGTGCTTGCAGTCCATGGCCTGTGTAAAGGGCAAGAACGTGCTTCGGAAAGAGCCCATGAGCAAAGACATTGGCGAAGAAGACGCGTTCTTTGTGAACGACAAGTTCTCGAGCAAGTTTTATAAGGTGAAGATAGGAACGGTGGTTGCACAAAAGGAATCAGAACCTGAGAAGCAAGAGACACGGCAGCGAGTGGAAGAGGACAGGAAGCCACAGATTGAAGCTGCATTAGTTAGGATCATGAAGTCGAGGAGGGTATTGGATCACAACAACCTAATCAGCGAGGTCACGAAGCAACTTCAGCAACGGTTCCTGCCAAATCCGACCGAGATCAAGAAGCGGATCGAGTCACTCATTGAGCGAGATTTCTTGGAGAGGGATAATGTGGACAGAAAACTTTACCGTTACCTTGCATAATTCTCGATGTTGGAAACGAAAATTGCCGGAAACAATCACGCTGCAGGTTCTCCTTTATTATCATTATGGTTGTGGCTTTTTAACATTGAGAATCTGCAATGATGTACCCTCCCTTGTTGGTTAATGAACAGATTTATTTTGCTTCTGTTCCTTTTTCTTTCTTGTTTGTTTAGCCTGCTGCATTTCGCCTTTTCATAGCCAGGGTTGAATGAGGAATGCAAGATTAGAGTGAAGATAGTGAAGCTCATAGTTTATTGCCGTTCAAGTCCGTGCTTTATTAGGCTGTAGGATTCTGTTCCTTTCACATCCTGTTTTAATGGTGAGACAAGCAAGAGATAGTTGTTAGAAGCGTCCAAACGTTTTTTGTCTTGTTTCCCATGACTTGCTTGTTGATGGACGCTTTTTTTGCCCACAAGGCCAATCACATTATTCTCGATTCAAGGCTGTCTATTATCCATAATTGGCCTCTTGAGTGGGGCAAATTGCACAGAGGAATCAAAACAGCGTGTCATGGGGACACTTTTTGATGCTTTCTTATTCACAATGATCTTATTCTCGAGAGTACATGCGAAACTTTAGCACATTTTTACAGTTTTTTACCACTTCCACTGCTTACAAGTTAGAACTGCAGGACCTGGTTCACCGAATCCCACTCTCTGCAGATACAATCACAGCGTCGAACCCGGAAACGAGAAAGCGGCAAAAAACTGGAAAATTGTGCTTCATGAACTTCCCACTTTCTTGTAGAAACTAGAAACCACATAGTTAAATCGAGTTTGGAATTGTCAAATTTGATCCCTGCATATTAGATATGTTCAAGACTTCCAAGTCCTTCAACAGCTTCCTCAGCCGAGTGTCGAAATTGGAAACCGCAGCTACCTTGACTGTAGAGTGGTATGACAGCCGTTTTAGGACGCTTGAGCAAGATACGACGTTTGAGACAAGCAGAGAAAAGGCTCAGACCTCCATTTGAATAGTACTGCAGGAAACCCACCAGCTCAAATGAGTTTATTCTGTAATGAATCAAAGATAAAATGACCGTTTTCTAGTGATTGCTACCTCGTAGACTTCTTCGAGGTAATCCGTGGTTGTTTCATGTTTGAGCCAGTGGCTTCAGAAACATCCTGCTCCTGGTTGTTTCATGGCCTCCCATCTCCCTGCAGAATCACAACATACCGCCATATACCAGTCAATGCATTGTAAAATGAAAGTTCACCATCCCATGTTTTACTAATGATAAGTTGATAACGCCCACCTGGTACCCAGGCTTTTCATGGCCATGGATCTGCTAAAACCCTGTTTCACTTGAGCTTGAGTTGCAGTCAAGCCTACAGGAAGCATTCATTGCATGCAAAATTTAAGGGAATTTGCAGATTCAGGGTAGGTAGTTCCATGGAGATGAACGGGTCCCAATTGGCAAGTCCGTCCAGCAATAATGCATCATGCACCTTCTCTCCAGAATTCGCTCCTCCTGGAACTGGGGGAAGGAAGGAAGAATAAACAACAACGAAAGACGGCAACTTTGATGAGATTGTAGAAAACCCAGAAACGTGTTTGAGGAAAAAGTAAAAGAAATGAAGAATTTCCGACCGTAATGGATGGGCAACTAAAGAAGATCTACGAACTAAATTCGAGAACTCGAGGTTCTGAGTTTACAGTGATCTCAACAGCGGAATCCCGTTGGAGCATTTCGTCAAACAAGCTTCCATCCTCTTTTCTTTTTTGTCAGTGATCAAAAGTGGAGCAGAATCTCAGGGACTATAATACAAAGAGCGAAAATTTTCTAAGGTATTTGGGATTGCCGATGGACGAGGGTGAGATATTGGAGAAAACCAAACAAACAAAACAGAAAATGAAAACACATAAAACCAGTGTCGAAAAAGATCAGTCTATTTCTTTGGTTTCCTCCAATACTCATACTCGACCCCTGCAGATTTCACGGCCAAATTCCTTCTCTTGTGGATGCCGGAGATAAGATATTGGAGGAAACTAAACACATATACAAAAGAAACGAGCAGCTAGCATAATGCTGCATTCCCAGATTATGTGCTTAGTTCCCTCCAATTCTTACATTCGACTTTCACAAACAACAAACATTTCTGTAGGCTTTTCTTCCATCTTCACCTGGAAAATGTCAGACATGAGATATTGGAGGAAATTAAACACAGAAAAAGAGCAGCCACCCAGACCAAATCTGTGCTGCCTCTCTCTTGTTTAATTCCCTCCAATTCTCAAATATGACTTCTCCCCATTTTCATGTTTGTTTCCAGCAGAAAAGAAAGAAGAGGAATGGTGCATCAAGCCAAGCTAGAGAAGCATGGCATTTATAGGCCTGTGCCAAGGGATATGGAGAGAGGGCTCTTCTTCAAACTCCAAACCCAAATGGCATGATCTTTTAAGGCCTCACTCAGTCATGGATTCTTTGTTTCAGTAGTGTCCTCAGTCAGTTAGTTACACATTCAGGACCACTGCATTTTTCACGCCACAGAGAAGAGCAGAAAGAGAGATTTTCATGTCCTACAAATCAGTCAGTCAGGACTCAGGAGAAAGAATCTTTTTTTGGTGTTATTTCCCATATGGGCTAGATTGTATTTGTACAGGAGCGAAACCGCATTTTGTCATTTTTCACACATCTCTTACAACAATCCAGATTCCACACCCTACAATATTCTTTGGGATGATGGAATAATGTAATCCATTCCTTCTTTCAACTACAGTGCCATCCTTCTATCGTCCTCTCCCTCTCTTGAGGATAACTTGGCCAGAGTTTACCTGGTATAATGGAGGCTGGCAGAGGAGATGTATAACCAACCAGCCCCCTTTTGCAGCATTCCTCAAAGCTCTTCTCAACAAAATTTGGCAAGTATTCCTCCATTCTGAAAATGGAGTGCTTCAAGGGATAATCTGATGGCAAGTTTGCGATCTCCAGCTTGCAAGGATCATCACATCCCGCTGATTTGTTGAAACACGACAGAAGAATAGGCAAAATGCTACGAGACACCAGATGTTGAAGTGGAGATAACTAAGCATTATTGCTCTCTATATATACCCTCTGGGAAGCTATCCTGGCTGCAAAATGATTCTAACCCTAGCTTCCTAACTCCGTTTCCAAGGCTTGTAAATTTGATGCCATTGCTGTTACCCTGAATTGGAGAAAACAATTTGACATCTGTTACTTGTATGAAATCCATAACCAGTAAGGGGCCTCGAGTAACAAATGGTCCCCGATTCACTTTGGTACTCAAATGAACTTTTCACATTGTGATGTCAATATTCATTAATGTTCTGCAGATAGCTTCCTAAGAAATCAATGCTTAAATTTCACCAACGCTCTCCATCAGAAAAAATGCTTTGAATTGGAAAACCAATATTGAGCAAACATATGGGCGTATTTCTTTTAGGCCTTCCTAAAATAAAGTTGACTTTCTGAAATTTAGTTAAAAGTAGAGGAAAGTGTGTTCGGCAAGGGTTTAGAAAAAACTGAGTTGATGCTGAGATATGAGAATAAGTTTGATCTTACCAAGCAGCAGGATGAACTAATGTGCATCAAGGGCCAGTTGTAGGTGGCGGTCGCAGCACCCTATGCTTGAATAACTTTGCTAGGGTTCTCCTTTCACAATCCTGAACAAAGATTAAAGAAAAAACAGTTGTATCGGGTTCCAAATCAGACAGAAAGGAAGTATGGATATTCTTTCAACTTTCTAGTGAAATTGAGCTTAGAAATTCACTAAAATGTAACTAGCATATGTAATCTAAAAGATTGTTGTTAAATTAGTTAGATCACCTTAAACATGTTGAGATAAAATGGCTTATCCGGATTGGATCTCCTGAGTTTCAAGTAAGTGTATGCAAAGCTGAGTTGATCACGTGAAGTGAATCTTTCAACCTCATTGTACCACAGGCATGAAAACAAATTTGACATTGGTGTGTGAGCCCTGATAATAAATGAACCTTCAGGCACATCTGCAAAGCACAAACCATGTGGCATCAATAACAAAATGTGCAGAAATAACTAACCTTGAAAGCCATTCACAAGTAAGGACGATCAGACCAGAATACAAGAAAGAAGACATACAACTTGGGAGAGGAGTATTTGGTTCTGAGGGGTCAAACATGGTGAGGCCATCGGATCGGTAAAAGTAGAACTGCCTATCTATTTCCCGATGGTTGTATTTGTTTAGGCGCTTGTTCTGGAGTACCTCTTCCCAGACACACTGACGATCATAGTGTTTTGAAATGGCGAACTCTGATTTGTTTCTCCACAAGAAGTGCTCAATGATACGCATTGGATCAACAATAAGTCGCAACTTACTATCAACCCAAATTGAGTAGCTGAAAAGCAATGGATGCAAGTGAATGAAAGAATAACAATGCTCTATACTTTTGATCAAGTCATGGATATGAAATTTAGTGCATCTATTAGTCTGACCGTTACCGAGAAGAAGGGAAGAGGCGATGCGACAAGAATTTTGGCACCTTCCCAGTTCTTCTCATGTCTGAATATGGCAAGTTTTTCACAACTACTACTTTCCACAGACCAACGTATCCTCGATCATCGGGTTTATGTCCCTCAGAAGACAGTTTCTCAAGTGTTTGGTCATCCACAAACATGACAAAACAAACATTTTCCTTCGCAAACCCACTCATCTGCAACAAGGGTAAGGCTATGATTATCTTGCAAAGGATAAGGAATGCAGAAAACAAAATCTACGAACAACTCAAGTAGGATATTATAGAACGAGCTGACTAGAATATACTTCATCGAAAAAAGGATGCACCACAAGGATCCAAATTCAGGAACTTACATTTTTGTAATAAGGCCTTCTCAGGAAATCAGAGCTGCCAAAAATGCAGGAGGATACAGCAACTATACATTTGCTCATGTACTCTTTGTCCTTCTCATCCAAATCAAACCCGGTGCTCGGAGATCCAGGAGGTCCTTTGACAAATCCACAATGAAGGGTTTGATTTCTAGCATAAAAGGAATTCGCCCTTTGCTCCATGGTCTGATGTCCTCCAAATCCAGACCTACTGGAATTCATCTCCGGAGGTTTCTCCTCACTATTCACATATGCTAATGAAAATTGCGTAAAATTCCTCACTAAATTTGGTTCCATGAAATAATCCACCGACTCTGCAAATTTAACTGGACAAGGAAGATCTGAAGAGAAAAAAGGGCAACACATAAAAGTAATGGAAATCAGAAAGTTGAGAATTTGAAAATCCAATCAAATGAAAGAAGGGATAGAAAACATGGATTGGTGACTGCATTACAACGAACAGTTGCAGGCACTCTGCAACGAACAAATTCTCAGGAAAGCCCTAAAATTACAAGGCAGAAGAAACTTACGTAGCTTCCGGTGCTTTCCCCCCGGAGGTTTCCCAACAAAACCGGCTTGGGAGAAGTTTCGACGCTCGATTTCGTTGGAAGAATTCGAAGAAGGGAATGAAGAGTTCCCACCAATTTCTTCATGGACGAAGGAAATCTCCATATCCATCGTTACCTTGCGTGCATCTTGCATATCGAAATTACCTGGTACTAACAAATATAAAGAAGACGGGGGGGAAACCCAACTCAATGAAAACCGCCATTGTAACGACAAAGACATAAAGCCAAAAGCAAAGCTTGGAAGGAGCAGGAAATGTTTACCAGGAAAGAGGAATCTGAGGCAGAAGAGACCGGTGAACACCAAGCAGAGCGCAGCGAGCAGCACAATCCAGACCCAATAAATAGGTCTAAGAAACCGGCCGATCCTCCTCCCTCTTCGTCGGAACCCTTGCTGCTGCTCGGTCCGGCCTGGGGAATTAAACCCGGCGGAGAAAGTGCTCCTCCTCTCCGGCGGCAATTCCACATTCTGCTTATACACCGCCATTATATCCCCTTGTGCACCTCACTGCCGGCGCAGCCAGCTCATCTACGGCAACCCAGAAATCAGTTTCAATGCCGAAGGAAGGAAAGCGGAACTGAATCGGAGAACGGCTAAGCCAAAGCTTGAAGGGGAAAAAGGCAATTGGGTTACCTGAGCGGAGGATTTTGGAAACGGCAGAAGCTTCCTTCGTGCGGCGTCAGAAAGCAATAACGGGATCGAGGATTTTCAGAAATTTAAAGCTGTAAAAGATAAATTCTGATTTAAAGCTGGGGGATGGGAAATTTCTTTCTTCTTTGTTTTCTATTTTATGGGGAACGTGGACTTGAATGCTGAGTTTGACTGCCTGCTGCTCTCGCCCTGTCTTACACAAAAAGTAATTTAAATACGAGGGAAATAATGAATAATGGTCCATATGGATCAACAGCAATCTTTTTAAAGAGAAATTTTATAATATTAGGGTGCTTTCATTAATAAAAAAATTATTTATGCTATGAATTCTAGCGTATTTATACGTTTAATCGGATTGTATCTTTTTTTCTTTAACTTGAATTTAAAAAAATTTGCTAAGATGAAATGTTTCTCAATGTGATCTACAAAATTATATAAAATTTTGATATATTTCAAGAATTTTTTTATATTTATTTCGAGAATTTTTTTGTATCACTAGTTACACCTGGTACCACTTTTTTAACTCAAAATTTGAAAAACATTTAAGAGGAGAAACGAGTTCATAGTGATCTATAAATTTATGGAATAAAATCAGAACCATATATACTACTCTGGTACATGGTGGGGAAAATTGGGTCATATATTATTCGTTTAAACTTGGAATTTAAAAATAATTATATAGAACAAACACATTAGTTATGATTTACACAATGATATCCATTTTGATATATTTTAAGCAAAACGTTAACCCTACAAAAAATGTGTTGGTTGTAATCTTATCACTGTTATAAGATGATATATATATATTTCTTATTAACCCAAAAAATTAAAATTTTCATAAAAGAAATCATTAATTATGATTTATTCGATCTATAAATTTCTGAAAAGAAAATACAGAACCGCAACGTAGCACTCCATACTACCATATTGACATGTTTGAATATTTGAATTGTCATAATACTTGGTGTAAATTACAAACAATGGTTTGGAGTTGGACAACCATGTTTCCCCTCACTAAAAGCATATATTATGGTATGCTAGAAAAGGGTTAATGTGAGGTTTGGTCACTAGGTTTACTAAAATGTGTCAGGTTTAGTCACTAGAAAAAATTAATATCAATAATGGTCTCTAAGTTTAGTAAAATATGTCATGTTTGATCACTCTCTGTTAGCCTCCGTCCAACTCCGTTAATAGAGTCTGTTAAATTCTGACGTATCAAACATAATCGTCTAGTTAGCCGAATTTAACCCAACAAAAATAAAATCTGATCCACCACATCATTACAACTTGCCACGTCATTAAAACTACCCCAACCCATGACCCAACTCCTTCTCTTTTTCTCTATTTGACCCAACCGACCCAAACCTCCTTCCTCTCTTCTAAAATTTTCATCTTCCCCATCTTTCTTCTCTCCAAATCCGGCCGCCTCTTGCTCCATCGTCATTGAAGGCGCCCCAGTTATGAACCCGACAGCCAGTGGCGAAGGGAGGTAAGGAGGAGAGGGGTCTTAGGACCCACTTGGCAAACAATTGGGCAACAAAACCCTTTAAATACATAGGTTTTAGTACGATAATTCAAGTTTACGACCCCATACTCTCAACGATGTTAGCTCACCAAGGACCCCGTTAACTCAAAATTCATTAGATACATAAGCATTAGTGTTAGTAAATTTTAAAGGACCCCAGTACACTCAATGTCTGGCTACGCCACTGCCGACAACCAAATCATTCTCTCCTGGCTAAACCCTCCCCCGATCTTATCAGGTAGGGAACAGAGTTCGAATAGGCCTGACTCGCAGTCGCTACCGCACCACGACTCAGCGCCGCCGCTACTGCCACCGTTCTTGAGGAAATCGCTGACCAAGAGAGCCAAATCATTCTCACTCTTGTGGCTAAATCCTCCCCCGATCTGCCCAACTATCTCTCTCGCCCACCACTCCCCCGTCGCCGCCGCCGCACACATTTCGTCGTCGGCCAAATTTTATCCCTCGTTTCTACTTCCTTAAAACGAAACGACTCCGCAAAATCTCACGCCTTCGTTTCAAAGATCTCCCCTGACGGTAGCCAAACCCCAAACACCGAACCTTGCTCCCCAACCCCACAAAAAAAAAAAAAAATCGTCTGAACAATCAACAATTCGATCCTTCTTCTTCTCTTTCTTTTTTTACAATTACGGCAGGGCAATGAATTAAATGTTAGCTAATCATTCACATACGTATGGAGAACTACGACGACGAGGCTTTCTCTGGTAATAGGGAGCGGTTAGTAATCACCGTGGTTACTTAAAGTAAATTGAGTATAGAAAAATAAATTATTATTAAATAATTAATTTTAATAAATTACATTTTAGTTAGTTACAAAAATCTATTAATTAAAATTCTTTCTCTCACTTCCGTAATCTCCAGCCAGATCTTCTTTCCATATTTTTCTCAATCTTTTTACAAAAAAAAAAACACGAAAGCACCACCATTCCATTAGACAACCATTACCATTTTGAAAAACATCAATACCATTGCAGAAATAAATCTATACCATTACACGAAACTACCAATATAAACAATTGATACCATTACAAAAGTCAAACAAATACCAAAACAACCAATACCACTACTACTGTGGAATCAAAACAATACCATAGCATAAATAAATCAATACAAACACTACCAAAATAAATACAGAGAACTACCAAAGCATAATGCAAACACTACCAAACCAAATGCAGATAACTACCAAAACATAATGTTCCATCTAACCAACACAAATGCAGGTAACTACCAAAGCGTAATGCACACACTACCAAAGAAAATGCAGGTAACCACTAAAGCATAATGCAAACACTACCAAAGCATAATGCAAACAGTACCAAAATAAAATGCAAGGTAGTTACCAAAGCAAATCCTCTACCAATGCAAACACTACTATTCTTGGACGTGAAGGACTTTTGTTGCAATGAAAAAGTAGTGAATGACAAGGAGCTGGGGAAGATTATTTAGCGCTCGGGCGACCAGCGCAAGAATGTCCAGGCCTTCCTGGTCTGTTCCAATCTCGCCGCCAAGGACCAGATCCATTACGCCACGCTGTTGATTACGACTTACGTTGAGAGAGAGAGAGAGAGAGAGAGAGAGAGAGAGAGAGAGAGAGAGAGAGAGAGAGAGAGTGGAGGTGTGCGAGGGATGGAGGAGGGCACCGGTGGCGACTGTGGATGGAGGGGAAGGGTGCTCGACAGCGGCGGTTCGAGGGTAGAGAGGCTGATGGGAATGAGGTTGCCGTAGAGTTTAGATATAATATATACAAATTGATTTTTTAAAGGATATAAATCTGGTGTGATATTTTTTTCATTTCAAAAATACCCTTAATCTAATCTTCACCGTCAATTAAAAAATATGATAAAATATAGATAATGAATGGTGTTGATAAGCCGTTAATTGCACATGTTTTTACCCCTATTCTGGAGCCGTTTGAGCTGTTGATTCTCGTGTTTTAGGCCGATTTCACGCTAGGTTGTGTTTGTTTGTGATATTTCAGGTCCTAGCAAGTGAATGAAGGTTTAGGAGCGAGTTCGGGGTCGATTGGACAAAGATCGGGCGCGAGTCAAGTCACAAAGGAAGCCACACGGGCACACACACAACTCACACGGCTGTGCAAGTGACCAAGGAGGCCGTGTGGGATTGTGCGAGCCTTCCCACCGGCACAAATAAAATCCACACGGCCGTGTGAAGTTGCAATTTGGCCGTGTGGAATTCTGCGAGGCTTCACACGGCCAGGCTGGGTGAGCTACACGGCCGTGTGCCCATTGTTATGAGTATGACTGCTTTGTATTCTGTTTTCCCCTCTCTCTCTATGGAGTAGAAACCTTCTCTCACTTGGGTATGAAGAACCCTAGTTCCATGTGTTATGGATTTTATTGTAAGGACTTGGGATGATTATACTGTTTGGTTTTAATCGAATGATGCATGTTTATTGAGTCAATTGAAGTCTGATCAGCTTTTCCTGATTTCTGCTGCAACCTGAGATAGATAGAATCTGATTAGGTTGTTAGAGCCTCATCATTCGGTAGTAGGAGATTGGCTATACGAGAGTTAGCCAGTTTACTGCTTTGTACTGGAATCCAATTCCAATAGTGGAGTTCTGTGCTTATTGCTTCAGCTTTCTATCCCGGTGAAGACTAGTCGTCTGCCGGGTAGTTAGACTGAGAGGGCATGGTCAGCTTAAGAGATTTCAAGCTACTGTCGGATCTTCCGCAGTCTAATCAACAGTAAATCAACCCAGGAAAATTACAATGGAGACCTAACTAAGGAGCTAGGGGGACTCATTCCCGAGTGACTCTTCTTTGCTTGAGAAAACCGTACCAATTCCTGCTTTCTTACTGCTTTTGCTTAAAACAACAATCACTTAACTTAGTTGGCTAGATAATAGATAATCACTGAGTAAGCAGTAGATCTAGACCCTGGGTTGATAATAGAACTTGCCATTTTACTGCATTCCCGGACTGCGATTATACTTGGTCGCAGTTTGGTGTTGTGTTTTAGCGTGCCAGGTGTGAATTTGATTACTTAAAATTGAGTAACCATGCTAACGCATTCCCTGGTAACATTCAAATCGGAATCAAGAATGTGGAAGAAGAAAAGGTGGGGGAGGGAAACAAATTGTTCCTTTCCGGGTCAGGCTTTCTGTTGCTCGGAAATTATTAATGCCTACAAACACACCTTAAGTGACTCAGAAACTCCTTAATGAAAATCACAAATATCCTAAAGCAGACTAGGCACGGGTGCAACAATAAAAAACGATAGAAAATTTGAGAAGTAGGCCACAAAACTTCTCTCAAGGATACCGCAAACACCTCAATACATACCAACATCCCTAAAACGAACACTTACAAAAAATTGTAAAAAGCACACCACAAACTAGCCAAAGCATACCACAAACCTAAACAAAATGCAAGCGCCACAAATACAGAGAAATTTTACTATGCTATATAGCATTGGTACTTTAATGTACAACTTAAAGTTGTACCATAACATTAAATGTATAAGTTTAGGTTGTACCATAAAGCAATATGTACCATTATGTTATGGTACAACTTTACAACTTGAAGTTGTACCATCACATAAAGGTACAAGTTCAAGTTGTACCATAAAAGAATTTGTACAAAAAATATAGGTACAATCTGAAGTTGTACCATAACGTAAATGTACAATTTTAAGTTGTACCATAAAGAAAAAAACCTATAGTACCAATACTATATAGCATTGTAAAATTTCTCTTTCAAAATGCATATGCCAAAAAAATTGAATATGAAAACACCAAACCGAATTCCTGAAAACTAGGATTCACGGGGATAACCGGAAGCAATAACGAAATTAAATGGGGATGGGATGGGATGCTAACCATATAATGGGTTAGCACCGTAATAACTCTTCCCAACATCATTAATTTATATTTCCGTCAAACTAAGAGTGGTTTTGGTGGAGGGGTATTTTGGGTAACCACACATGTGATTGCTCCCTTGAAACAAACGTAGACCAATATTTAGGTGATGAAGCCAATAACTGCTCACATTTTTAGCTAATTTCCTTTTCATCCTCTCTCTCTCTCTCTCTCTCTCTCTCTCTCTCGGCCTCACGATCCGGAACCCATTTCTTTATTCTCTACCCTCGGCCCTCGCGATGTCAGCCTTCTCATTAGCGTAGCTGTCCTCAGCGCAGACCGCCGTCGTCTGAAACAACATCGCCTTCGTCGCCATCCGATGAATTGATGTTGCATGTGCCGCCTTTGCCACTGCTGATGTCATCTGCGTCGTCCTTGCCTTCGTCGCCCTCACCGGCATCGTCGCCGTTTAAATCTGCCTCCCCTATGTCGTTTGCATCCGCCTTGCCTACGTCGTTTGGACTATAGGTGGATTGAAGTTCCGTATTGGAGGCATTTAAGTGTGTTTGGAATTTCAGATCTGGTAGTCAATTTTAGAGTAGTAGTGATTTTCAAAGACTAGTAGTGTTTCATCAAATTTAGTAGTATTTTTCACTCTATTGTAGTAGTGTTTTCCAATATTTTGGATTGAAATATTTATACGGTGTTCTTTATTATTATACGCAATAGTTGGGTTCTACAAATCTATAGTGGTACTTTTTTTTTATTGTTTGGGCATTTTCTTTGTATTGTTCTCTAATTTTTGCAGGACCTAGTAGTGTTTTTCATATCAATAATCATTTGTAGTGATTCTGCGAGTAGTAGGCTTTTGAACGTTGTAATAGTGTTCTTTAGATATATGGTTTTTGTGGTTTATAATTTTTGGGCATTATTTTGATAGTCTTCTCCAATTTACAGAAGCTTGTAGTGTTTTTTCATATCTAGCATTAGTAGTAATTTTTATTTATTGAACATTAGTAGTGATTCTTATGTAGTGATTATGTTGCAAAAAGTCGCCGTAGTGGTTCTCGTTATGTATTAGTTGTGATTTGTGACTTTTAACAGTAATAATTTGCCTGATTCTACTAATTAATTATCAAAATCACTGCTAGTAAATCACAAAATCAATACTACATGCCTTAATTCTACTAATAAACCACTACAAATCTTGAAACAAAAGAATAATGACTTTGGACGCAAGATCAGTACCAACATCTAGTAATATTTTCAGAGTTAGTAATGTTTAATGATCTTAGTACAAAAACCACATTTTCATGAATCTAGTAACGGTTTACAGAGATAGTAGTGTTTTCAGTGAATTATAAGATGATAGTGGCAAATGCCCATGTGCAGCTAATTGTAGAGCTAATAATGTTCTTAGAGCCGATCGTTTTCCATAAGAGAGAGAGAGGTGATTGAGGAAAATGGGGAGAGATGTAACAGATGAAATTAAGTTATAGTTTTATTTCCCTAAAAAATAACATTAACTTCCCTATTTTAAATTTTTATTGTTTCTCTAATTTGCCCTTTGTTAGCATGGTGCTAACCCTCTATGAGGTTAGCACCGTAGCTTGTCCCAGTTAGATGTAAATAGATTCTGGACAGGCGACGTAAACGAGACGCGGCGATGACAGAATGGACGAACTGACAAATAGAGAGCGACGAGCACAAGTCGATTCAGACGGTTTCCGTTGTTTAGATCAGAGAAATTGTTCAGTACTGTAAATGCAAATTGTTTATCAATGAGCACAAGGTTGTGTGAGATGAGCGAAGACTGCTAAGGTCGGAAACTGCGACAACAAAGGAGAGGGAATCCGGCAGAAAATTTTGAGAGCGAATCGTCGTACCCATGAAGTCGCTCCAATAAGGGGATGGCGAGTAAATTGTACCCATGAAGTCGCTCCCTGGCAACAAACTCTGTAAGCAACCTATCAAAATTCATCTCACAGGCCACCCATGCCGCCAATCAATTGGGATTTGGAACCAACGAGTTTCTTCGGCCGTAAAAATACCGCACACCCACTATCCTCCATCTGATATTGATAAATGTCCAGGGTCCGAAGTCCGAACCAAATCAACATTACACACTGATGATGAGACACTATTCTCCTTCCTGAGAAACGTCAATGGGATCTTCTCCCATGGATTGCTGCACCAGCTGTGAAACAAGAACAGAACAGTGTCATATATATACACATTTCCTGAGGCATTCCAGATAATAACTCAGCAGGAAAAAAGTTTGGGAAGAAGCAGTGGCTAAGAGATTAGACTTGACATACACAGGAGCCGACTCGCTCGTATGCTTCCATTACTTTGGGATCTGACTCGTCTGCATATCCAACTTGTAGTATGCGCGGTCCATTGACAGACCAAAAGTTTCTCAGACCTGCCTCCTGGTGTTGATTTGGAAACACATCAGTGCAGCAGGATAAAGTTAGCGATAAACTTGATAGGGATCTTGGATGATAGAACAGAAGTCTCATGGAAATGGATATAATCCTGCGGCTGTATCATAGCAAGGGCAGCCATTTCTTAAACCAAGTATAGGTCCCACACCTCTATAATTAGCATATATCTCTCAATTACGCTACACATTGCCATAGATTACCTGCAATATAACCAAGTAAATAGCCTCTAGTGCTTGTACACGAATGCCGGGATCATCCCAGGGTTCACGTTCAATTGAGAGAGCGCTAGCAAGTTCAGGGGGCATTTTTGATAAGTCTTCTTTGCTGTATATCTGAACACCACAAATAAGAAGAAGAAAACGTAAGAGAAAGCACTTGTCTATATATCAGCATATACATGTCCATGGGTTTGAAGGCTGCAGATCGTTGAGCTGATTAGTTAAACTAATTCTTCTTACTACCGGAAAAAAGGGATACCTTGTTACCAGCAACAGGTAGCAGTAGAGCCGGCCAGAGAAACTCAGATATTGTAAGCAAATGCTGGAGTTGATTTTCAGCGTCAAAGCAGCAGTTATGGACTGTTCCAAATACCTATAAGTCAAACAACAAGGGCATTTAAGTTCAGTTTGCTAATTTAGCACGTGCAGCTTAGTGACCAAGTAGGAAACAATCCGATTTCTCGAACTATTAACTCACAAAAGAATGGAACAGATATTTTTGGGTCATTCAATAACCAAAAAAACCAACTGAGAGTTTTAGGTCATGCTGGAGAACCCTTTATGTTTTAGACAAAAAAAAAAACATTTGCATACATACTCCTTTCTTGCGCAGTGGACTAGTTGAATCGAACTGTCTGAGAATCTGCTTCAGCAGTCCTCGTTTAGAATCCAGCAACATTCGTCTTCCAGCTTCTTTCTTTGAGATGTTTACAAGAATTGAACCAACATGGTCAAATGGATCATCTTGAAGGCAAAACATCCCATGTCAGACCAAAGATTAAATAAACCGCTTGCAAAAGCATAGAGCGGAAAGCATCAGAATTACCAAAATTTGACAAATTGATTACTGGGCCTTAAAAGCTAAAAAGACAATCAATTTTCAGTAAGATCAAAAGTGAAGGAAATGTACCTTCATTGTCACTGGAGGATCCACAAAACGACCTCACAAGCTTCATCACATACAATCCTTGCATCTTCTCATCATCAGCCTAAGTAACATATAGAAATTCCGCCAAAAAGTTGGTCACTTAGTTCATTATACATACCACAATAAAGAAAGGTCCAATATTCTTGGATGCCACAAAGGCCTGGAAAGCTTTTTTTTTTTTTTTTCTTATTGAACAAGTTACTCTAAGGAATTATAAACAGTTCCCTACAGGGTGCCATACCTGAAGCAAGGATGAAATACCGGCATCCGACTGAGTGAGGTTAACCAAGAGCATTACTAGCAAGCGGGTAAGCGTAGAATTAGGTTTGTACAACAGATCAATAGCTGTTTTAATCATTCCCATATCGACCATCCTTCCACCCAAACTTGAGTTCTGTGAGAGATTCACAAGAGCTTCTGCTGCTGGCTCAGAGACTTCCTGGAAACAGGTTTCCTTCTATCAAATTTCCTCATTAAACATACATGATAGCTCTTTCAAGCAGCCTCTCAATCTGATGTCAATAGGAAACTACTCCACAAAAAAAAAAGTGATCTAAACGCAATGGGCAACAGTAAACCACAGATTATCAGCAGCAATCAATCACCTTGTTATCACTTAAGAGCCGAGACAGGGAGGGAAGCACACTGTTTGCATGTGTAGAAAGAGACATCAATCCATCTTCGGACCCAGTTAAGTCTCGAACAATACCAACCGCTGCCTTCTTCAGCTAACATGTTTAAGTTCCGACAGTATAGAAACAATTAGTACATGAGCTATTATGCAACCGAACCTCGTCAGAAATCATCAACTGATACGAACTGGAAGCAACCCCTTTCGAGTATATACCCGATTGGAGTCAACCCCCCACAAAAAGAAAAGAAAAATTGAGCAAGGCAATAGTTCTTACTGGCGGAGAAGGCGAGGAAAGAAATTCCAGCAATTCTTCGAGCTCCGTCGCCATGGCTGCCGCTCGCTTGCTCGCTCTGCCGCTGCCTAATTCCCTTGAACCCAAATTCCCACTCCCAACTCCCACACGAAGTACGGATATGCCCTTAAAATAAACTCAAAAAACGACATACGATTTAGTGGTTACTGGTTAGTGGTTACATAGATAAACTAACCAATAATAGCCTCGAAATAAACTCCAACGTCATTAAAAAAAAATTATTTGGCATAAAGGACTGCAACTTTTATTATAATCAGAATTTCGAAATTTACGTGGATTTGTGAAAAGTAAATGTTAAGTTATTCTCAAAACCCCACATATTCAAAAATACTTCTTGTTTTGAAAATTTCTTCCTATTAAAAATTGTAGTACTTGAAAACTTATGCGAATTAAAAAAAAAATCATGACATTCGGAGTGTGTAGCACAATGTTGTGGCCGGTCAAAACTTGGCGAAATCAAAAAATTGCTCGTTCGGGGTAGCAAACGACGTTTTTTCGGGACAAAGGAAGAATTGCAGCTTGCAAGATCTCGAAAAGTTATGCGGAATCAAACAAATTGTTACGATCGGATACCCGAGCGCAAAGTTAAATTCGTTTGAATTTTCGGCCTAGGTTAGACGTTGAGCGAAAAAAAAATGCAAACTGCTGGGTGGGGGGTGGTCTGCATTGTTATCGCCCCTACCAAAAAACAATATCATTCATTATCTCTGTTTTACTATATTTTTAAATTCACGATAAAAATTAGATTAATAGTGTTTTTGGAAATAAAAAAGATAGCACAACTGATTACTCTATATATTATACCTAAATCTTACTGTACTCCATCTCTCTCCAATCTCCACACCATCCCTCCACCCCCTCTCCTTCCTTCCTCCCCATCGGCGCCATACTTCCTACCGCATGCTCCCTCCTCTCCTCCCATCTCTTACCCACACCACTAGGGTTGTTAGTGAGCCGAATCGAGCTGAGCTTTGCCATAGTTCGGGCTCGGCTCGTTAATATATTTCTAGGCTCGAGCTCGGCTCCTGTTCGTCACGAGCGTTAATATTCAAGCTCGAGCTCTGCTCGTTTATGAAAATGAAAGCTCAAACTCGAGCTCGGCTCGTCAAATAAGTTTAACCAGCCCAAAATCGAGTTCAACTCATAAAATGTTCATGATAGCTCAAAAATGACTTAGAACTGAGCACAAAATTACATTCACACATGTAGCAAACTCTATCAAAGTAAAACACAATATTTATCCCAATTTTAATACATAAAATACATGAATTCTAATCCTTATTTATACCAAACCATTAAATGAGCTTGTTCGCGAGCTTTCGAGCTGAACATGGTATGGCTCGAGTTCGGCTCATTTAGTTAACGAACTTGTTCGCGAGCCAGCTCGATTAAGACGAATCGAGTGTTGAACGAGTTTTTCTCGAATCGAACACCAATCCATTCATAAGCGACTTGGTTCATTAACAACCCTACACACCACTCAACCCCCTCCCACGCCACCCATAACCCCTCCCCCGCTGTTCCATGTTCCCTCCCTCCACCCCACCCCCACGGGACACGACCATCCGTCCTCTCTCTACTCGGCTCCTAGAAGGAGCTGCCACCATCCCCTTGTTTCTCTCTCTCTCCCTCTCTTTCTCTCTCACTCTCGGAGATAGCTGGGGAAGGGTAAAAATCTATCTATGTAGTTTTTTTACTAGTTCAATTGTTTTGTTTTATGAATTTGTATAGTTTTGTTTTTCATAATGGTATTGATTTATTTTTATAATGGTATTATTTTGATTTCACAGTGGTAGTGGTATTGATTGATTTTAGTATTGGTTTGACTCTTGTAATGATATAGATTGTTTATATTGGTAGTTTTAGTTTAATGGTATTGATTTATTTCTGTAATGATATTGTTTTCATAATGGTATTGATTTATTTCTGCAATGGTATTGATGTTTTCCATAGTGGCTGTGGCTGTCTAACGGATCGATATTGATTTCTTGTTTTATTTTTGCAGTGGTATTATTTTGACGCTACGAAGATAAGGAAAAATTGAGAAAAATAAGAAAAGCGAGATCTGGGTGGAGATTGCGGAAGTGAGAGAAAGAGAGAGAGAAAATTGTACTTAATATATTCTTGTAACTTCCTCAAATGTAATTTATTAAAAAAAGAAATTAATAATATTTTTTTCTCATACATAATTCGCCCTCAGTAATCAACATAACCGCTCCAGTCGTTAACCTAACTAACGGAATCTCTAACACCATTAAAATTTGTAACATAAATGACTAGATTAGTCAAACAACTATCGAAATTCTGTGTATTTCGTGTATTTCAAAAGTTGTGGCTTTATCTTTCACAAACGTGAAAGTTGTGACTATAGAAATGTATTTTGCGTGAAGTATAAAACTAAACAAACATTACAAATTACAATGTATACAAATTAGTCATATAAACATTACAAATATGATAAACCAAAAGAAACTAAAATGATAAGCATTATAACCTAACTGATAAACATTATAAACCAGACTTACAAACATTACAAAAACGATGACAAACATTACAAATCTGTTGTCGCCGACAAATTCGTCGACAACCGTATTTCTCTCTCCTCCACCATCAATCTCTCTCTCTCTCCGCCTCCATCTCTTTTTCTCTCTCTATCTCCCAAGAGTCTCTAACTTCAGTCGGTAGGTAATTGCTCTTTCTCTCCCTCTCTCTAGACGTGGAAGGAGCAGGAAATCTCCATGCTGCTGCAGGAAGGAACCTCCGCCATCGTCGATAGGGATTGCTCTCTCTCTCTCTCTCTCTCTCTCTCTCTCTCTCTCTCTCTCTCATCCATTTCTATATCTAGGCATGAAAGGGAGCTGGGAAATCTCCACTGCTACCGCCGATAGGAGGTCCATGATAGGCTGCATATCCTAGATTTGGACATTTAGATTTGAGTTAGGCTAGAAAAATCCAGATCTAAGAGGTGAAAATAAAATGACTTTTTATATTCCCTTTTTTTCTTAATCGACTCTTATATTTTTCGTTCTAACTTGGATTTCAAAAAAATGCACACATTGACGAAAGTTTTTGCAATGCTCTCAACTACGACTGGTGACAGCCCTGTTTCGACGCGAATCTGCTTCCTTCCGACCGGCAGCCGGACACTTCCTTAATGGTAATTGAGGCCCCGATGGGGCATGCAGCTGATACCACCACATCCGAGATGCTGATCGATCCCAAGTCGACAAACAAGTAGTGTAATCCGTCGCCGACGCCTCCTCCTCTGTTCTCATATGCAAAAGCGGTGACGGTATGCAATGCCCCATCACCGGTGACCATTGGTGTGAGTCAATGGACCCCGTTGGCGAACACGACCTCATCCCTGGGGAGCGAAACAGAGAGCCTTCTCTGAGAGTCTCGATAGAGTTTAAGAATAGGATATGTACACCATGGCAACGTACCCTGGTGGTCAGGCTGCTCGGGCTTAAGATCAGCTACTCAGTGTTGTGCTCTCGTCTGTGAAGCTTATGGAAGCCAACTGGAGCTATGGAGATCATGGATCCATTATTGCCTGCTAGTCAAGCTCGACAATGATAAAAAAAATACTTCCGATCTCTCACAGACGGGCCGTGGGTAATTTTTGATCATTATCTGGCCGTTCAGCAATGGTATCCGAAGTTCAAAGTCTTAGATACCCTACCAAAAACTATGATTGTATGGGTAAGTTACCGACGCTGAAAATTCACTTCTATCACAAGGAGGTACTGACAGCACTCGAGAATCTCATCAGAAGAACTATTAAGTTAGACTACCACACTCTGAATCGGCAGTGGGCAAAGTTTTCTAGACTGGTAATTGGGGTCGATATATCCAAACACCTTATTCCTAGAATCTGGTTAGACGATTCCTGGCAGAAGGTCGAGTATGAAAATCTTTCAGTCGTTTGTTTTGAATGTGGAAAGATCGGACATGTGGCGGAAGAGTGTCCCAAGAAACACCTCGTAGTTCCATCGACGATGTTGGCCATCACCGGAGCCACACCATTGTCAGCGGTGATGGATCAATTAGTGGAAGAACCAAACCCGGGCTTCGGTCCGTGGATGCTAGTCACACGAAAGAGCCACCGTAATCAAAGGGAGGGCTATAGAAAAGGAAAGACATAAAGTGATATGGGGGGTTTGGCCCTGGGAAACCTCTCTATGGCGAGGACTCCCGCCCAAACTGGGAAAGGAGGAAAGCATTATCAGGAAGGCGAGATATCGTAGCTCCAGCTACCTCTCCCTCTAGGACCCAGCCACAAATTGATGCCAATCAATCAAGGAAAGGCGGCAACGATAAGAAGAAAGGGGAAGACAACAGGAGATAAAGGACTTCTAGGCCCAAGCCCCCTTCAGACCCAACCTCCAACAAATGGGCCAAATCCCATGGCAAAACCAAAAATGGCCTCTACCTCGACCCACAAAATCAGACCCCAGATCAGCCTGCTATGCGATCCATCTTCCTCGAAGTCAATGACAAAGACCTCAGACCTGATACCTTCGCAATAGACTCTCCCGCCTCCTCCTACAACCCAGACTTCGATTGGGCCCAATGGGACCGAAATCCAAATTGTAGAAGTTTGTTCAAATCATATTTCCCAACATTCCAGTGCTCACCAAGTTTCCCCATCAGCAACCTCTTGAACTAAAAGGAACAAGAACATAAGGATAGCTTACCACAGATTGTCGAATAAGCTCAGCCTGACGAAGGGTCTCCAAGTTTGGACTCCCAAGAAGGATTAGAAGCCAAAGACGAAAGCCAGGATGGCGATACTAACCCTACAGGAAATTGATGCCTGGACGAGCGTTGCTCAGCAGTCGACCGTAAACTCAGGGGAACCAAGTGAGGAAGGCATTCCGGTGCAGCTAGCACTGCCTTCCATGCCAGAAGGAGGAGCCACAAACCTGACTTAATAACACTTTCCCCTCCGTTTCTTTTCTCTCCTCTTTCTTCCTTTTCTTATTTATCTATGTCTATGTTTGTTAATTTCAACCTTAAAATTCTGTCCTGGAATGTTGGTGGTGCAGGTGGAAGGGCATTTCTCCACGCTCTGAAACTAGTGATCCAGACTAACCGGTCCAGACTTCATAATTCTTCTCGAACCGCAAATCAGCGATGGTGCAACCAATTCAGTTTGTGATAAGCTGGGATTATCAAAATCGATCTGTGTGGAGGCAACTAGCAGTGAAGGGGGCATCTGGATCTTTTGGAATGATAGGGACTTCTCTCCTTGTCTGATGTCGGCCTACAATCAACACATTTCTCTCCATATCAATCATGCTAGTCAAGGGCCTTGGGTTCTTACTGCGGTTTATGCCTCCCCCCAAGCAAAGCGATCAACGACCTCTCTGGGAGTCTCTCATCAACCAGATCATGCTACATGGAGGAGAAGACGGGGCTGCCCACAAGCAATACTATGTGAAGATGTCGTGTGTTTAATGATAGAATCAATACGACGGAGCTGGTGGATCTTGGATTTTCGGACTCCAAATTCACTTGAACTAGGGGTGGTCAGTCTCATACCTTCAAGGAAAGCCGGTTAGACAAGAGCTTATGTAACCTGGCATGGAACTCAGCCTTCTCGAATACCTCAGTTTTGCATCTGCCTCGAGCTCAGTCAGATCACAATCCCATTCTGACTTTGGTGCATTCATAGAATTGTGGATGAAATCCCAAAATGCACACGTTATAAAAAAAATCCCAAAATATACATGTTTGGGTATCACTGCGGCAGACGGAAGCAGTGAATGCATTCACCGCGGCAGACGGAAGCAGTGAATGCCTAACATAACACCGAAACTTCAAACAAACGTAACTTTGCGCTCGGTTATCCAATTGTACCGAATGTTTTTTTAATTCCACATAACTTTTCAAGATCTTTCAATCTGCAACAAGTCTTCATCTCAAGAAAATGTTGTCAAAATCGAAAAATTGCTCGTTCGGGGTAGCAAAAGAATTTTTTTTTGGGATGGCATATTGAAAGATCTTGAAAAGTTATGTGAAATAAAAAAAAGTTCGCTACAATCGGAAAACCGAGCGCAAAGTTAAGTTTGTTTGAAATTTCGATGTTACGTTAGGCATTCACTGCGGCCGTTAACCGTGGTGATGCATTCACTGCTTTCGTCTGCCGCGGTGAATACATTCACTGCGGTTGATGACCGCAGTGATGCCCAAACATGTGTATTTTTTAGAAAAAAAATTATAACATATGTATTTTGGGAATTTTTGTTAAAAACATATGTATTTTGAGATTTTTCCCCAGGTTGTCCGCCTAATAGCAGCCGCCCCTTCCGTTTTGAGGCAGCTTGGTTCACTCATAACCAGCTGCAGGATCTGATCATAAGTTCATAACACGTGGAATGATCAAACCTCCCTTTCAAATGCGCTGGCTGCTCTTGCATGTACTCTCCAATCCTAGAATGGAATGTTTTTGGTAACATCTAGAAGAAGAAGAGGAGGTTCCTGGCGCGCATCAAGAGAGTGGATGAGTGGCTCACACTAAATTTCAACGATCAAGGGACAAGTCGGTTAAGTATGGAGAGCTGAACACGACCTACTTCCACTACTAGATGAATCCCAGAAGGAGTCGGAAGAAGATCGAAGCACTGCAGGATGCATACTACAATTAGGTGAATGGCCCCCATTCCCTTGCCTTGCTGGTCTTTGATTCTATTTCTAACCTTTATCTGCAGGATAATTCAATCTACGAAGACAAGCTCCCCAAGGGCTTTTTCTAGTGTTTGAGACAAGAGGAGTTGTTGAATCTGCTTCGCCCCTTCACCATTCTTGATGTTCACAAGGAAATTTTCGAGATGAACCCTTCCAAACTCCAGGACCTGATGGCTTTCATTTTGCCTTCTACCAACAAATGTGGAAAGTGGTGAGGAAGTCTCTCGCAGACATGGCACTTACTATCTCCGCGACGGGGGAGCTTTCATCCTGAACTACGGATTCCACTATAGTCATAATCCCAAAGGTGGAGATCCCGGAGAAAGTAACTCAAATTTGACCCATCTCCATCAACAATGTCAGTCTGAAGGCCATTAGAAAGGCAATGACTTGTAGATTGAAGCTTGTCGTGCGAAAATTAGTTTCTCAGCGATAAAGCAGCTTCATTCCTGGCAGGCAGACGGCTAACAATATTATGGTAGTTCAGGAAATCTCTCACACTTTCAGGAAGAAGAAGGGCAAGAAGGGTGGGCTAATGTTCAAGATTGACCTTGAGAAGGCGTAAGACAAACTGAGATGGGAGTTCTTGAGAGATACTCTTAAGGAGGTTGGACTTCCTAGCTCATGGATTAACTGCATCATGTACTGTGTGGAGCAGAACAAGATGTGAATCCTCTGGAATGGAGAGCTGTCCCAACCGATCACCCCTTCGTGGGGAGTTCGTCAGGGAGATCCTCTTTCCCCCTATCTTTTTGTCCTTTATAAGGAGCGCTTGTCTCACATGATTGATGTGGCTGTTCGTGATGGTCACTGGAAACCTGTGAGGCTGTCTGCTAATGGCCAACCTCTGACCCATCTCTTTTTTGCATATGACCTTTTACTGTTCGTTGAAGCAGAGACTCGCCAGATCAACATTGTGAAGCAATGCCTGAAAGACTTTTGTTATAGTTCGAGGCAAAGGGTCAACTACAACAAATCCATCCTCTATGTCTCGCCTAATATAGCCCGTCGAAAAGCCTATCGCCTGAGTCGTTTGGCTGGCATCCCTCTTAAGACGAATTTGGAAAGATACCTCGGGATTTAGGCTATTCAGGAGCGAGTGACCAAAGGAAGATATCAATCTCTCATTCTACAAATAGAAAAGAGGATGGCTCACTGGAAAGGTAAGAGACTATCCTTTGCTGCCCGGTTGACCCTAACCCAATCTATTTCTGCCTCTTTCCCTGTGTATACTATGCAGATTGAGCTCATCCCTCATAACGTGTGTAAGTCTATTGACAAGCTTGACAGGGACTTTATCTGGGGGGATAAAGAGGAGAAGGCTAAGGTGCACTTGGTTGCGTGGGAAAAGATTACCCTTCCCAAACGAAAAGGTGGAGTTGGGATCCGACCCACTAGACAAGCAAATCTAGCCTTCTCTATGACAAATATAGTCTTTGAACTCGGGTGATGCGAGCGAAGTATGGACGTTAGCAACAAGGAATCGACATGATCCGACCATGTTAGGGAGGTTCCTTCACCTGGGATAGCATTTCTAAAGTTGTTAGCCTTCTGAAAAAGGTTGTGCGTGGAACATAAAGAGTGGTAGGAAACTCATTTTTGGATTGACTCTTGGGTCTCGCAGGACCCGCTACGCCATTTGGCAACTACTAGCATACCCACAGAGCTGGAGGGAGTCAAAGTAGCGGACATGGTTCAAGATGATGGCAGTAGGAAGACGGACCTCTTTGACAACATTCTCCCTTATGATGTGACCCAGAAAATTCTCAACATTGCGGTGGATAAAGTGGCACAGGAAGAGGACCAGTTATTCTGGTCTGCCTCGACGAAGATAGATTTTACACCAAATCGGCCTATAATCTCCTCTACCTGCACCAGTCTGACCAAGACGAGAGTTGCTGGAAAATTATTTGGAGACTTCCTACCCCGGAGCGAGTTAGGAGCTTCATGTGGCAGGTCTTGTTGGATAGACGGGCCACCAACTCCCTTCGATATTCCAGACGAGTGGCAAATAGTCCCTGCTGCGCGTGGTGTTCAGGTATACCAGAGACGACAATCCACGTTCTTAGGGACTATCCTCCGGCGATGTTTTTTTGGCACATACATGTCCCTTCGCAGCAGCAACCAAACTTCTTCGGCTCTCCCCTTCTATACTGGGTACGCACCAATCTAAAAAATAGCGGCAGAATAAGGAACATGATTGAGTGGCCGGCCTTCTTCTGCACTACAACCTGGCTTCTCTGGAAGAATCGTACGACTGCCTTCTTTAAGGGGAATGGGGCGGCGCTAGAACACTCAACTCTAGTAAAGACTAAACTGTGGAATGACTCCTGGGACTCTCATGCACTAATACTGGATAACAGAACCAGGCTGATGGCTCGTATCATGACCAATATTGGGTGGTCTCCTCCGGCGCAAGGATGGGTCACCCTGAATATTGATGGTGCCTCTAACGGGAACCTAGGTCCAGCTGGTGCGGGGGGAGTTATTAAGGACTCCTCGGGGATTTGGATTAGTGATTTTGTGGCCAACATTGGGAGCGCTACAGCTGCGTTGGCGAAATTTGGGCTTTCAACCACGGGCTGAATTTGGCTTAGAACGGAGGTCATAGAGTGCTCAGGATTGAGTCTAGTTCTCAACTGGCCATCCAGCTTGATGAGAATAGATTCGACCCGATTCACCCGTATGCCACTTTGCTATCTGTTATTCGAAGGAAGCTTAGTCGAGACTGGTTGGTTCGCATTGTGCATACATACCATGAAGGGAATAGAGTCGTGGACTGGTTCTCGAAGCACATTCTCTTCTATCCCTACGACATGTATGAACTTGCGAACCCACCACCCGGACTAGCTTCGATCCTTAGGGATGACATGTTAGGGGTCTCTTTTGAACGTTGCATTGTGACGCCTGCCTCCTCCTCTATGTAATTTGTTTTGTCTTTCTCTAGCCTCGACCTCCTACTAATGAAAAAAAAACGCAAAGTTGGAACGAGTTTGTTGTGATCTACAAAATTATATCCATTTCAATATATTTCGAGAAAAAAATTTCATACCACTCGTAACTACCTGGTATCATCTTCATTTTCAACCCAATTTTTGAATTTTTTTGAACGGATGGAACGAAATGTTTGTGATCTTTGGATCTACAAATTTCTGGGGAAAATATGGGACCAAAAAGTCCCACTTCATATCACCCTGGTATAGGGGTGGTAACTAGTGGTACACAATGATGAATGTGGTAAATGATAGTTCGTATATGTCTACTATCATGTATCCAACCATTATACACTTTGTTATGTTAATACCACCATTGTAAACTTCACTACCACGTGGTATGATTTTATGTACTACTAATCATTACCATCATGGTATAGACTGGTACCAAATGTCTTTTTTTTTTTTTGTTCCAAAAATATATCAAAGTTGATATTTTGAAGAACATATTATGTAAATATTAATATATGGATGACCAATGACCTACCACATTAGATGCTCACTTGGGAGTTACATGTAACCCCTATCTCTACATTATTATCTCTCATTCATATGCATTGATATAAGGATATAGTGGTTACCAAAGTGTGCCTATAAATATAGCACACCATTGTATAAAAATTGAAGAATGAATAAGAAGAACTCTTCCCCTCTCTTCTCTTGTGTCTTTTCCTCTCTAATCTTCTCTTGTAGTTGTTTATATTTTCATTAGTTTGATAACTTGATAATTGGTTGGTCTGGTTAAACCATCCCGGATCTTGATGTGAAAAAGTTCTTTGAGAATTCATGAGAACATCATATGAGAAGTCAAAGAACTCTTCAACTAAAAGAGTTATTATGCCATGTTTGTTCTCAAGGAGAATAGAACAATTGATCAGAGCTTGTATAAGAGTTGGCAAATCTCTTGAGATTTTATATGATCACTTTTATTTTATCTAATCGCAACCCGATGTTTGCGAGATTGATTGCCTCACTATGGATACATTTTTATGATGATCCAATCAAACATCACTTTGCTTAAGAGAACAAACTAAGCCTTCTGATCTCTTGTCGAGGACATGCTAGCTGGCAAGTGATAGTATTGATTCACATCTAATCAACAAGTTATCATAAGTTCCCCCCTTTTATAAATGATTTTGGTCAAAAACCTAACAATTCTCATATGAGAATATCAGGGTGTGCCGCATACATCCCAATTGCTCCACCATAGTATCTTAAGTTGATTCTCGTTGGAAATTGAGAATTTGTGTTGGGTATGAATCCCAAATGGAAAATTTGTTTGCGAAATTATTGTTTTGATGAATCACTTTTCCAACATTAAGGGGGAGAGAAAAAAAAACAGCTAGACAAAGAGATGAGTTGGAATGAGTTATCATTATCTAGTTTTGATCGTCAAAGTAAGAAACATGAACCTGAAGTTCATAAGATGAATTATCGTTACCAACTATCAAATGCCTTTACTGGCCATACGAAGTGACCAAGTCACATATACTAGCTGTGAATGCTCCAACTAAATTTGACATCCTTGTTGGATACTCTAATATATAAAAAAATGTGTATGAAAGAGCGCATGAAGCGTGATAGACCAATCGGTTCCAATGATAAACATCCTCGAGAAAGAAAAGGAGTTGTAGTTAGAATGGTCAACTCGAGGACATGAAAGCTCAAGAAGAGTAACCAAGAATTAAGTATAATTTTAGTTCCAGAAGAACACATGTCTCTGAAAGTTGTGAAAGGGAAGAGATCTCAAAAATATATTAGACTACAATACTGGAACAGAAATGAAGTCATTGTCGACGAAATTTGTTTGTTGTACTTCAGTACTGAATATGATATATATATGTGAGGATCAAGAGTAAAACTCTATTGATGCATGCAAATGATGATGTTATTGGCCAATATAGAAAGAAATCATGAAACTTGCTCAAGGAGCATAAAGTTTAAGGACCAGAAGTCCTTGCACCTAAAAAATGGCAAAACTAGCGGGATACAAACAAATTTTTGTGCTACTGGAAATTATGAAATTGTGCGGGATATTGCACAATGTTTTGCAATTGGTTTCTCGAAAAGACCTATCATTGTTTAAGAGGAGTTATACTCCCCTGTGGTGGGTGCAACTACTTTTTCAAATCAATGTTTGAAAATTGTTGTGATAGCCTATTTGTTTGAATTCCCCGAAGATGTTAAATATATTTGAAACTCCCAGAAGGATTAATTACTCCTAGAAGGATTAATTTACCTGAAGTAAACAAGTAAAGTTCTCGAGAAGATATAATGATAGACTAAGAATATCCCCTGCATGGGTTGAGAAAATATAGACGAATGTGAAATACTCGTCTAAGTGAACACCTACAACAGTGGGGTGAATGGACCTTAAAAGGTTAAATCCGGATAGAGTGCATTAGAGCATTTGCATTGTGCATATATAGTTGTGTTGTTTGTATGTGCTTCAAGGATTTTAAAATCTTGGTTTATGAGTTGTGTTTTACTTTAAAGTATGAGTTGTGTTTTATGACTGTGCTTTGTCTAGTTCATATGTTTCTATGATGTGAGTTTTGTTATTATCTTTCGTTATATGAAAGAATTGCTTGCATCAATTTGTGTTAGTTAAGTTTTTTTTATGATCTCATATTATGTTAATGATATGACTATTATTGGATCTCCTGAAGAGCTTCCTAAAGTAGTTGATTGCTTAGAGACATAAGTTAAACTGAAGGATTTAAGATCCTTTTTATGGGCAAGGAAGGTAATGTTGAAAAAGTGGGAAAGTAATATTGCATGAACGAATTGTGTTCATCAAATAACATTAGGATCCTAAGATCACTAGAAGTGACCAAAGATCCATTTAGAAATCAAGAAAGAAGTGAAACATTAGGTCCTGAAGTACCATATGTTGATGCATTAGAGCACCAATGCACCTTGCTAGCCAAACACCATATAAACTATCATTTTGGTGTTGATAATATTGGCAAGATACAAGGTTTTCCTCATTAGAACGTTGGAAGATACTTTGTTACCTCCAGGAACAATATATGCGATTGTTCTATTATGCTATTATCAAAGAGAGATTTGGTAAACTATATATCCAAATCCTATATATCATTTGATCCTTATATTGGTTGATCGGAGACGAACTATCTCTTACATATGGTGATATAAATGTTTCATAAAGAAACAAAACAAACTATAATGGGCAAGTCCCGAATGTCTTTCGTTACACTTTGTGATCCACCATATCTCAAGTACTTGTGATTGTGAACTATTTTCAAATGAAATGATCCTGACGATCATGTATGAAGAAAATCTAAAGATCATGCCTCAAATTGACAATCTAGAAGATTGTTCACTAACTCACTCCCGACAACAATCTTTCTAAAAGTTGTTCGTGAAATTTGAGTTCAACGACTCAATAATCTGAAGTGATGTGGTCATGAGGGGGAGCATATACGCACTGCACTCTTTTTCCCTTAACCATGGTTTTTTCCCAATGGGTTTTCCTGGTAAGGTTTTTAATGAGGCAGTATGATATAGCGTAATGCAATCTAGTGGTCATCCAAGGGGGAGTATTATGTAAATATTAATATATGGATGACCAATGACCTACCACATTAGATGCTCACTTGGGAGTTATGTAACCCCTATCTCTACATTATTATCTCTCATTCATATGCATTGATATAAGGATATAGTGGTTACCAAAGTGTGCCTATAAATATAGCACACCATTGTATCAAAAGTGAAGAATGAATAAGAAGAACTCTTCCCCTCTCTTCTCTTGTATCTTTTCCTCTCTAATCTTCTCTTGTAGTTGTTTATATTTTCATTAGTTTCATAACAGAACACAATATATCTTTTTTTGTTGAATAATTTATTTGATTTATAGGAGGAGTTGTCGGGCTTGTGATGGTTGGAAATCAATGCTATGATTGAGGAGTAGAGACCAGGACAGAGGAAGCCGACCCTCTGTGACAAAAAAAATTTAAGTTACAACTTAAAACGAAAGAGATATAGCCTGTTAAAATTTATAGGAGAAATGGTGGTAGTTATGCATGGTTATTGATCATAGAGTTATTGACGTAAACCGCTCCCTCGGCATGGACGATGGCCTCATTTTTTCGTCGGAGAATTAATTAGCTCAGTTAAAAAAAACATGCAATTACCACCTTATCATTCATTAAATGAAATTAATTAGATCAAATTTTAAATGAATAGTTTAGATATACTTAGTCACTTTATCTCAACCCATATGGTAGTTGACTAGTTGTGATTGGAAATTGCAGTATCGAATCAATTATCATTTTGTATGACAAATCATATAGTTGTCTTTATTTTATAATATAAAAAATATTCAAAAAGGCCAAAGACCGTACATCTTGTTGACCGTAACCTCAATGCACGACAGCACCCCGATCAACATGAACTAATACTCTTAAAATCAACCACCGGCTAAAAAGAAACGCCGGTGGTAAAAATTCATCACAAAGATAATAATAATAATTATTATTTTAATCAATAATGCAAGACATAAAGGTTGTACTCGGCCACCGCGTCCCCGCTAGTCTGATTAAACCTCTCAGTCCTAGCCGTGGCATACCCGGTCGCAAACCGGAAAACCCCGGTCCCGCCGACCACCGCCGTCTCCCGGATCCCCGCGGCGATCCGGTTCCTCCCCATCAGCGCCACCGTGCTCCCGTTGTACCTCCCTTCCAAAAAGACCAAGTTCATGGTCACCAGCACGGCCAGCTCGCGCTGGTCGGCCGAGCCGTAGAAGCCCTGGGACCGCCCGATCAGCTTGGACCCGATGTCGGGCCCCACGGTCATCGGGTTGTCGATCATGCTCACGAACCCGAACCCGGTGGTGGAGGTGTTGGCCGGGGAGGCCACGACCTGCATCGCGCTCGGGTTCGAGCCGCTGTAGATGTCGTGCCAGTAGAAGTGGAAGTGGGTCAGCTTCTGTTTTTTGAGCCGGCGGTTGAGCCGGTTTGGGTTGAGGGCATTTACGTAATCTTCATCGTCGTCGTGGCGGGCGATGGCTTGGGTTGCGGCGGAGAGGAGGGTGGAGATGAGGAGTAGGGAAGCTACGATTTGGTTGAGTTTTTGGGCCATGTTGGATTGGTTTAGATTGGATTGGAATTGCTTTGAAATGAGGATTATGTGTGTGTGTGTGTTTTTATATAGAAAAATGGAGGATGTCGTCCAATGGCCGTACTTGGTTGACCAAGAAATGTCGTTGCTTTGTGTATTATATGACTAAATTAGAGGACTTTACTATAAATTAAGTATGTGCTTTTCTCGTTAATGGGATGGTTTGTTGATGCATGTGGTTGTTGTAAGTTTGAACTTATTGGCTGGTTTCCCATGGGAAATATTGATTTATGTTCTTCCACGACCAACTTGGCTTCTGTTATCTACCATTCCAATTTCCAGGAATGTTCCATGGAGTGGAAATGAAGTTTGTGGACCGATTATAAGCGCCATATGTTCTATTACAATTTTTCTTTTTGATAGATTGGAAGAAGGATTCCAGGCTCCCTCTTTATTGACTAGTTTTGTTGAACCGTTTCGGTAATTAAAAGGATTAATATATTATTTTGGCCCGAACTATGATCATATAATCAACTTTGGCCAGTGGTTTCAGAAATTAATATCTTGGCCTCAACTATGCAGCATATAGACTCAATTGGCCGAACACATAGTTTGGCCTCAACTCCGTTAACCGTTAGTCAACACGCCATGTCATTGCCTAGTCAGCCTAAAAATCATTAAAAAAATTATTTATTATCAAATTAACCAAAAATAAATTATAAAAACATAAAATAAATTTTTTATTTTTATTTTTTGGGAAGTGAGAATGATAAATTTTATAAATTAACAAAAATTATCAAATTAAATTTTATAAATGTAAAAATTATTATATAAATTATATTTTTTGGAAAGTTTTAAAAATATAAAATAATTTGATAATTTTTGGTTAATTTATAAAGTTATATTTTCAAATTATCCAAAAAATAAATAAAAAATTATTTTTTTATAAATTATTTTGGTTAATTTGATAATAAATCATTTTTATAATGATTTTTATGCTAACTAAGCAATGACATGGGATGTTGACTAACGGTCAACGGAGTTGATCGTCCAAATTGACAGTCAAACTATGTGTCGGGCCAATTGAGTCTATATGCTGCATAGTTGAGGCCAAAATGTTAATTTCTGAAACCACGGACCAAAGTTGATTATATGGTCATAGTTCGGGCCAAAATAAGGTATTAACCCTAATTAAAATGATTCTAAAAAATTAAACACGTATTCTCACCATGCCACAAAGTTTTTTTTTTCTGCCTTCCTTTAAACGAGTGCAAGGAGCGTTGTACAAATGATTCATCTATAAAGTAGAGATGAAAACTGTATCCACAATCGTGGGTATTCGACCTAGTCAATGAAGTCAATTTTTGCATTGATCGAATATATAATAAGTATGAGTAATTAGGGGGGAAGCCAGAATTTTGACGTTGGGGTGTCCAAAATCGAATAATTATACGTATTCGTTTCTTCAATAAAATGAGTTAAAGTGATTTGTATAAATTTAATATTTTCCATGGAGGGGATTATGAAATTTACTATGAATGTGTTAGTTAATTTATGGTATGTTCGTAATTCAAAAATGCAGGTCATGAACTCAGCCTGTGAACTTGTTAGTCCCCTGACTCCTGAGCCTATATAGCTGAGTCGATTTGGAGAGAAGAGAGTATGTATTTCCCAAATTTCCAACATAGTTAGAGACCGTAGGAGAAAGGGTTTCCGTTGCAAGAAGAGAGGGTGCTATGAGAAAAAGAGCCCTTTAGCTTGGGAAGTTTTGGAGCTAACTTCCAGAATTAAATGCCTCAACATGATGATTCTCACTTTTACACCTTGTTTTCTTACTTCCCTTTTCATGGGGAGATGCCTTAGGTGCTTGGGGTTAAAAAAAAAAAACCCTAACCTAATGTTGGGATGTGTGGTTTCTAATGAATAGTTGTTGAATTTCTAGTGGATTATGTCTATTTGGTTGAATTAATTGCCTATTCGTGCATTGATTGTATATGAATGATAATTGACTCGTGAAGGTGGCCATCCAATTGGGTCAATCTTAGATCAGAAATCAAGTATAATAGTTAGGTATCTACATGACCATTGATTTACCTAGTTATATGGTTTGTGGGCTTGTCCTTAAATCAAGAACTCTGTTTAATCTCTAGCTATGATGGTCAATTCTACATGATCATTAAGTTGATTACCATACCTAGAAGGCAATTCGGTGCATGACATTGACCCAATTGCCTCATTAGAGATTCTCACACATAGACACTAGTAGGGGTGGCTATACGGTCCGGTCCGGTTAAATTGGACCGAATTGATCCGGGCCCAGTCTGGTCTTTTTGAGAATATAAGAACCAAAGATTAGATTAGATACAGTCCGGTCTTGATCAGGTCCGGTCCCTATTCGGTCTTGATTTTAGATTGAACTTGTGGGGATTTGAGTGGCGTGAGACCTCAAAAGGCGGGGAGTTGGTTAAGTTTTGGGTGTTGGGGTCTCTTATCCAGTCTTTATCCGGTCTCAAATGGTTTTTAACCTCAAATCTAAACCTGAATATGGGATTGGATTGTTTGCTATCCGGTTCCGGTCCGGTCCAGTTTCGGGTAAAACCAAATAGTCGGCCCTAGACACTAGGAAGGAAACCAATTGAATTCTTGATTATCACATTCTCATGAGTTAGGTTAGGGGAATCAACCCTAGGTACTCTCTCTCTCTCTTGAATTTTAGGTTAACTGCAAATGTAGGTTGTAAGTTGATACCTTCATCAATTGTTAGGATATATAACAATTTGTTAGGTTGTAAGTTGATAACATAATCAATTGTTAGGATATATAACAATTTGTTCATGTAAGTATCGATAGTTTTCCTATCCCTAGTAATATGACCTTGGAAGGATCACCTCTAAACTACTTCGTCAATTTAGGGTATACTTGATCTAGAAAGAAGTTGCAAGTAAAAGGTACCAACCAAGTTTTTTTTCTTACTTGAGTTGCTAGTACAACAGAAAATCACTAGCCTATTACCCGGCCCGTTGGCCGGATTACTGTATGTTACCCACTTGTGGAATAGGAGAGAAAGCAAGTGAGAGTGAAGGGATTGGGATTCCAATTGATTAGGACCGACCCACTAATCCGATTCTTCCCGACCCGCCCCAACCTAAAGGGTCAGAAAGAGTCAATAAGAAAATATGAACTGAGAGGATTAGTCATATATCTTGAATCTTTAGAAGTGGGTCAAACAGGATCAAGTTTGGGTGAGGGAAATTTTTAGCGCTAAGCAGAGTTCTGGGTTGAATAACTTTACTTAGGCCTAGAAATTGGTGCTGATGCAGACTGCTGTTTTTATTATACCATCATCAATCATCATTGAATTAGTCCTGGGCATCCCTCTCCGTTGTCGGTCTGAATTCTAATGATGGCTTCGTTCCTTGCACCAGCCATATCAGCGAGTTGTCATCTCGAGCATGATTTGCCGTGTACAAATGATACAATTAGAGTATGAAACTGAATTCAAAGAAAAGGAAAAGAGAATTCTATCACATGCCAATAAATGCACACATAATAGTTGAAGCTAAGTGAAAGTCATTACTCGCACATCAATTCTCAAAAATTACAGACTAAGCAATGGCTAGAATGGCACTGAAACTACCAAGAATCATGGACGAAACAACTTGTCAAATTAAATAATCCTTATACTGAAACTACCTTCTAACTTGAAATAAGACATGATCACAGTTCATAGCTCTCTTCTCATATTAATTGGTTGCAGCTCGTCCTTATCACTGCCTCCCAAGCTCAATTCAAACAAAATAGAGACCGTTATGTAAGATAACCATATCCTTACTGATCATAATTCCTTTCTTCACTCCATTTTTGTCAGAGAAAAGATTTACCCCCCTCTCCTGCATTTCCCTTTCCCCCTCTCTTCTCCCTCTTCTTCACAAACCGATCCCTAAACCAGCAACAACAACACAAAAATAGCCTTCGCCTCTGCCATCTCCATCTACTGAACGCGTTGGTGGCAAGACAGGACTGCACAAGCAAAATTTTTTAAAATCAAACTAAATTTTTTGAAGGAGACTCAACCACAAAAAAGAGTAAAGCAACAATGCTAATAGTTCGGATGGTTGGTTTTGATGTTATACATTGTTTTTGTTCTGGTCTCCAGTATATCAACTGTTATAGAGATGTTTCCTCCAATCATCTTTAGTGCACGATTTAGAAGCAAGTCCTCCTGTTTGTGTCAAACGGAAACATTCATGGGTTCTTAACTTCCCTGTTAGTGTAAAAGCAGCAGCAGCAGCAAAGAAGTTTGACAACACAACAAGCACCCATGCAAAATGATACAATGCAGTAGGTGATATGTGTCTCGAAGGTTTTGAGTTACTAAAGTGCATGTTAAAAATAAACATGAATTAAAATGGATTATTCTATTAAGCAAACATCCCCTCTAATCATACAAAGATCATATATCCAATTCACAAACAATTAAGCCATAAAAAATCATCACACATCCACAACCTTTGATTGCCTAAATTTGGTTTTTCGCAAAGTTATTGACTCTTAAGGGTAACGTTCATGGGTAGTTTGTTTCATAACTCTAGAGAGCACAGTAAGCAGCCACCAGCCAGACACAGTGCGGTAGGCGACTATGATTCTCAATTCACAATTTCTCACCACCGGAAGTAAGAACAGACCATAATAAGCGTAGCGTTCATGGGTGGTCTGTTTCATAGCACTACTACACAATTTGTTAAAAAGGAATGAAAGGTATTTAGCACCACGGCGGAACAACTTTTACAGGCCAACAACGACAACATGCTGCAACCACCAGAACTGGTATCACAACTCATAGGGAAAATCAAAAGATTTACTCTCAAATTAAGCAGTTACAACATCGAGCAATCGTCAAGCACATACACCATCACAAAAGTCACGGAACCTGATTCACAAAGCATTCAAACATTTGAGGACATTTCTGCAAAGGTACAACTTATATGTCTTTTTTCCAAGCCATTTCCATCAACATGCTAATAAATTTGCAATGCATAAAACAAACGGGCCAAAACTTGAAA